ACACCTGTATCAACTATACCGGCGGTTACTTTGTCCCAGACGCAACCTGCCAAGGTATTGTTACGCTTAATAATTAAGCCTTTAATTTACAGTACTTAGTATATTGTAATACCAGAGTTAAAAAAAAATCTTATAAAATTGCATTTAACAGGTAAAGAAAGGTGTGAAAAGAAAAGCTGATACAACAACACCAATGGGTAGTTCGTTTGAAGGAGGTTACACTACCCCGACAATTGATCAGCAAGGTGGACCGAAACCGGCGAAAATATCTACGAGAAGAGAAAGTGGACGCCAGAAAAAGGTTTCTACTTAACAATTTTGCAAGGCTTTATTGCAATCTACAGGTTTCTTCTAAGTTTTTTTTTACTCAATAGGCTGGAAGAGTAGGAGAGGATAATTTCAAAATGGGTGGATTATCACCAGGCATGGGCTCGGCGGGCGCGTCCCACCATTCTAGTATGACCCCTCAGATGGTGAAGGGTAAAGAGAAACTCTCCGATGCTCTCAAGAGTTGTAATGAAATATTAAAGGAGTTGTTTTCTAAAAAACACTCAGTAAGTATAAGTTTTATTTGTTAGTTAGCCATAATTGAATACATTGTATTGTGTAGCTATCATCATAGTTTAAGACATATTCCTTAATATTGCTTTCTGATTGTGTTTTAATTATTAAGTATAAATTAAGTGTACAGTAAAGCAACAACGTATTCGACAGGGATATGCGTGGCCATTTTACAAACCTGTAGATGCGGAATTGCTCGGTCTTCATGATTATTTTGATATTATTAAGAAACCGATGGATCTTGGCACCGTCAAGCAAAAGATGGATAACCGAGCATATAAAACTGCCGCCGAGTTCGCCGCAGACGTGCGCTTAGTATTTACGAATTGCTACAAATACAATCCCCCGGATCACGATGTCGTTGCCATGGCGAGGAAGCTGCAAGACGTTTTTGAGATGAGGTACAAATATCTTTTATTTCTTTTTTATAATCAAATAATTTTTAACAATACTTGTTTCACACTTTCGCATAGATGTTAAGTTTAAAGTCTGGTTATAAGTTTATTTTTTACTTAGAATATTAACAACTAATTTGTTCGTGATGTAGTAAACGTGGAATTTAAAGAAGTATTAAAAATATAGCCTATGTTGTTCAGTGAAAACATAGCTTTTTATTGGTGCAAGAATTTTTTGAATTGTCCCATTGCTTGTGAGTTATATGTATCTTAATAAAATTAGTATAAATATCAAATATATACTTGATTTGTAAATATAAATATGTATTTGCATAGGTATGCTAAGATTCCTGATGAACCAGTCCACGTTGGAGTGACTCACACGACGGAGAAAGGCAGCTCCGCCTCCAGCTCCGAGTCGGGATCGGAATCTGACTCCGAGTCTGATGATTCAGAAGAGGAGAGAAACAACAAAGTCAAGATACTCGAGAAAGAATTACTTGCCCTTCAAGAGAAGATGAGAAAGCTCGTTGAAGAATCAAATAATAAGAAGAAGGCAAAGAAGAAAGTGAAAGACAAGCAAAAGAAACAGACGTCGAGTACCACAAGTAGCAGTACTATACCCAAAACGAACGCGGTCACGGCGTATGGAACTAAAACGAATAACATTAGTGAAAGTCTGGGTAAGTACATTACTCTTTTTCTTTTCTTTACTTCATGTAAAGCCTTTCCTTCTTTTTGGTAGCAAACGATTAACACTTTGTAGAAATCATAAGCTAAGATTTGATTAATTAGGGTCTATACAAATTAACTTAAGACTACTGGAATGAGTTTCGATCACGCTTGCTTTGTTCGCATAATATATATTCAGAAAGGCAGTATTATTTCTATCTGGAATATCTTCCAAGAACATTTATTTTGCACACTGTACATTAAAAATGACGTCAGCCCAGGTCTTAAGTTTGTATGGGTTGTGTCTGATGAGTGTATATAACTTTTACATTGTTAGAAATGTAACAGTGTGTGTCCCGCCGGTAGCGAGTAGCGCGGTGCGCGGCAAGCCGGGCAGCAAGCGCGGCGCGGGTGCGGGCGCGGGCGCGGGCGGCGCGGCGGCGGCGAGCAAGGCGGCGTCGCGCGCCGGCGGAGCGCCCGCCAAGAAGAAGAGCTCCACGCCGACCGCCGCGCCCGCGCCGCACCCGCCGCAGCACCCCGACACAGACGACGAGGACGTCGCCAAGCCCATGTCGTACGATGAGAAGCGACAGCTCTCGCTGGACATCAACAAGCTGCCAGGTGACATTACAGACATATTCTTCTTCTTCCTTAACTCTACAGCCCTTTGTAGACCTTGGTTTGGTCAAGCAATTTTTTTTCACTTCGATCTATTAGTAGATATTGATTTTCAATTTGTTATTTATAATAAACTAGCTTTCTCCCGCGACTCCGCTCCCGTAGAATTAAAAAAAAACAAAAATGAATATGTTATTTCAGATTATCCTGTACATCTATGCCAAATTTCATCGAAATCCGTTCAGCCGTTATGCTTTCACATTTATAATATTAGTAAGATTGGAAATATGTAATATTAGGTTTTTTTTTCTAAGAAGACAGGCATAGCATCCTTAGTAATGAGTAGTGACCCTTAGTTATACTATAAGTGATCTGTACTGCTGAACAGCACATTATGATAAAGATCAAACGCATTATTTCCAGCAAGAAAAATGAGAAACGTTATCATAAAACCATGTTAATGATTTAACAAAATAAATAATATCGATACAGGTGACAAGCTGGGCAAAGTGGTGCACATCATTCAAAGTCGAGAACCTTCTCTGCGAGATTCAAATCCAGATGAGATTGAGATTGACTTTGAAACTCTGAAGCCTTCGACTCTGAGGGAGCTCGAGAGTTACGTCGCGTCGTGTCTTCGCAAAAAGACTCGTAAGTATTGCCTATTACGTTATACTTTATTTTACTTTATACGTTTTTTTTTCGGTTTACTTTATATGATTTGTTTGTAGTTTAGAATAGCTTTAAGGTTGAGTTGGATTCAGATTTTCATAATTTACTCTGACGTTTGGTGCAGTTTACTAAAGCCATAAACAGTGATTGGTGTACATATGAAATGATAAACATGTTTAAAGATTGTAGAGAGTGAAAGAGGTTAGTTACCTCACTGACACATATGTTTTTTTTAGATCGGAAAGTTTCGGGTAAATCAAAGGACGAACAAATGGCGGAGAAAAAGCAGGAACTAGAGAAGCGGTTGCAAGATGTGTCAGGGCAGTTAGGAACTAATAAGAAACAGCAACCGAAAAAGGGTATGTATGGAAACAATTTTCTTGATAAAATATATTACGAATACAATAATTCTATTAGATCACAAATGGTAGGTTCCCGTGCGACTTCATCCGCATGAAATTATCAATACTTTATTTTTTTGTTTACATTTGTAAATTTTAAAATGCAAATGTCTAGATTAAAATGCACAAATGACAACGAAGTCCTTTGAAATTGGATAATAATTACCCTTACCTTGTCAATCTTGCTGCCTCGATGTGGTCAGTTTATAGTTTTTGTTGCTTTTTCGCATGACTCTCGTTCAATTATTTACTCCCTAAGTTTAATAGCGTGAAAATATATAGTCTGAAGCGTGTCGTATGGGTCGGTACTTTTATTAAAGAAGGATTTAGTCATAAATATACTGCGATTGCTGACATCCTACGTAACTAAGTAGTGTGTGTTTATGCTTTACTATATTAGTATTTAAAACATTCTGTTTTGTTATCAGAGGGGTGCAAGGAGGGCCTGGGCGGCGGCATGTCGTCATCCTCCAGCTCTTCGGACTC